CGAATTGGTTGTTCTTGGTCTTTTTACATCTGCAACTTCCTTTAGCAAGGAATTCAGTTTAAATCTGTAGTGCTTGAAGAAGCATCTCGTTCTGTGCGTTTTGAAGCTGCCTTTTGTTCATTTGCAGTCTGAAATCTTCTAATGGAGGAAACTACTCACCTTCTCCATGCTGCTCAGACTTTATTTCAAATTCTTTCAGATTCCCCTCAGTCATCTCATTTCTGCAGTAAGAATTCCTTGGTTTTGGATAAAAACTTTCTGTGAGGTCCTCGCAGAAAAACCATTCCTCTATCTTTCCTATATGTGAATTTCACTTCTTATCCTATTTGAGATGGGGAGATAATTTTAAATTTTAAAAGATATGATGGGAAATTTTTCTTTTCTTATAAATGGTTGATGATTTTTATCACAAGATTATTGTGCCTTTTCAAGTGATCCAAAATTGACTTTAAAAAAAGCCAGTGTTCCTATCTGAAGACTTAGAGCTCAATACCAGATTAAGGTTAACCCCTTTTTTATATTAAAAAGTGTTTCTTTCCTTTTAATTATTCTCAAGATCCCTTGATAATCTTGAGCTGTATCTCTGAAAACAGAGCAGTTACAAACGGGGAAAAAATTAAACAGTAAAGAAAAACAGAGTTTTTTAACAGCATGAAGAGAAATAAAATAGATTGACACAAATGGTTTGCAGTGCAATAGATAAAAACCCCTTCTATTTTGTAAAAAAAATAAGCTTTTCTTTAAGTTAAAATTTACTTTTTGTTACTGTTTATGGTGTAGCAGTTTCACAGAGGAAATTTAATCAGTCTCCCATTGATCTAATTACCCAGCATGTCAGTAGGAAGAGGCAGGTCCATGCCAAATCATACAATCTAAAAAGGTAGGACAAGAAATGAAAGAAAAAATATGCCAAATTTTACAGGTTAGAAGCCATGGATCTGACTGATTAAGGGGTTTTTTTGATGACCAGTCATATTGTCTGTAGTCCTATAAATTTGTTTTGAGACCTCCTCTTCTGATGCCCAGGACAATGACTATAAAAGCATGTTTCTTTCTCATCACTAGCATAAAATTTTAGGTGCTTTTTGTAAAGTGCATTGCACACAGCATACAAGAGACCAGCACAGAGCTGGGGCAAATAGCAGCTTCTGAATTGCTCATGTGGAGGCTTTGAGATTTCTTGACAAACAGAATACCAGTATGTGCATGGTATGTGCTTAATGCAAAAAAGTATTATAGAACACCCATCTGAAATATATGCCTTGAATTCAGCATCACAGTTTGCTTTTCAAATCACCAGAACCATAAGAATCTGTTTAAAACTGATTTAATTTGCTTAAATTACCTTTCTTTTGAGGTCCTGCAGCCATGAACTCCCGCCTTACTGAAGAAGCTTTGTTATTATGTTGGATTGTGTTGACACCAAGAACAGTTAGGCCTTCCTTTGAAATGAATTCTTTTATGTCCATAAAATTCTGAGATTGAAGAAGTGAACTGTGGTTTTCAGTGCTGATGGGTGATAAATCTGCAAGTAGGACAAGAGCAGAAGCTGTTATTAACAAACTAAAGCCAGCAGGGTGGGCAAATTGTTGCTTTCCCCAGACAAGTTCCTCAGGCACGTCATGAATTAATTGCCTAAGGTAGAACAAAGCAGATTTAATTATGAGTACTTTCCTGAGCAGGGATATTGCAATTAGTTATTTTTGAAAGCTGTCTTTATGGGGCAATTGAAATACTATGTATATCAACTTCCCAGTTGCTATTCAAAGTGTTAATTTACTGTTCTAAGTCACTTCCTACTGTGTGGTTTGAAGATAAAATTGCACAGTTTTTTGGAGGTATGTATCAAACATATAGAAAAAAGAATGTACTAATTTTGATAGACAGTTCCCTGTTGCAAAGCTAAGGTACACAGGTAATTTGCTTAAATATCCTATTAAATAACAGACAAACAATATTATTTAATGATTACTGATGAAAATGTTTAAATTGATAGTGGCAGTTTTGTAAGAACCCAACAGATTTTCAGCAAACCTGAACAGTATTTGCACATTACCCACTTCACAATATCTTCTTTTACCTTACCAAGAGGTGTCTGTTGCTCCAAAAACTGTTAAAAGCAAGTCCAAAACCTAAACCCTTTACAATGCTGGCCGCAGCATATGGATGGATAAGTACTCACATTTCACAAGTTTGGAGCTTTTTTAAATGATGAAGATGTGAACAATATGTCTGTGATTTTCAGCTTTAAAATGAGAAAATATTAAAAATCACTACTATGAATATCCATTTGGAAGTTTGCTGTCATTTATTGCCTTATGTTGTTCTTCATTTCCCAGCACTAACTGGCCGTTGTTTCTGGCTCTTTGTCCCTGTTTCTACACTTGTGCTGCTCCATGCTCTTGCTCCTGCTGACTCTCTGGTTGGGACTTGTCACTTCTCAGAAGGTGCCTGCTGCTAAGTAGCTGCTTTCTCAGGCTGTCGTGTCCAGACAGACTTTTGTGTCCACTCCCCTCAATTTAACTTCATCCTACAGCTGTCAGGTTTCTGTAGGGTTTTCCATTTCGCATTCCAGGCAGCTATTATATTTTGTGTCTTTTTTTTTCAGTTTGAGTTTTTATTTTTCATTTTTGCTTCTACAAAGTAGCTTCATTTTCTGCTTTGCTAATGAACTATAGACTTCCTTTTATAACTCTGTGAAGAAAATATGCATGGTGATTTCTCCATAGAGAAAGGAGAGGCTATAAATATGGAAATATCCCTTTTGGCTTTACAAAGTTTAATTGCTTTGTATATTATGCAGATTCTGAGACTGTAAAATCTGATGAGAGCAAGTAACACATTTGTATATTCACTCTTAAAAAAAGCAGACAGATTGCTGAGAAATGTGCAAGTTTTTGAGTGTGCAGGTTTACATCTTATTGCTGTTTATTATGGGGTGTGTAGAGTGCTTACATGGCTAAGGTTCTTCACTGAATGCAAACATGATGTGTCTAAACTGTGTATTTCACAAAACCTGTGAAAAGCAACAGGAGCAGCTGCTGCTGCCATCCTTCTGCATGCTGAGATCACAGGAAGCAGAGCTGGAAGGGACCTCAGGACACCCAGAAGTAGATCACCACCCTAAAGCAGGATCAGCTTTCTGAACATTTTCCCAACAGTCATAGATTTTTTGAGTTTCAGGCAAGAAATCAAGAAGTTCTCATGTTGTGTTTGGTACTTGAAGTTATTTTTCTTTTATTGGTCAAAGTGTAAAACAGGTGTATAATTTAGGATATTTCACTGTGACACCTGAAAATTGTTTGTTTGGTGGTTATTTAAAGAAAAAAGTATCTGCAAATGGTCTGGGACCTGAAGTCAGTAGTCACTAGGTATATAAGGGGTATCAGGTAGGCACTGAAATGGCTCACAAAGTTGGGAGTCATTTCAGGATAATGCTTCAAGCACTTTCTCCACTCTATTGGTTTTCTAGTGACAGAAGAAGAAGAACTAACCTCTGAATACCCGTTGGAAGTGCAGGCAGTTATGTTTTTAGCTATCTTTGAGAGAGAGAGAGAGATTCAGATATTAATAACTAGGAGTCTTCCCATGTCCTAGTTTCAAGGATCACCATATTCAGAGAGATGGTTTGCTTTGATCTGGCCACTTGCCTTGAAGTTTCTCTTCACTGGAGGCAAATCAGAGAAAAAAGAAAGCAAAAGTATTGATTTGCAAAATTCAAATTAGACAACATAGATACAGAATTTCATGAAGAAAGATGGAAAGAAAGGAAATTCAAATTGTTCATGTGTTAGAATAATTAAAAATATCTCTTAAAGATCCAGTTTATTACAGGCTGGATATTCAGAATCCTGTGTCTGATACCCATTTCTGCATGGATCTAACCCACTTTCTGTGTACAATCAGAATATCCCCAGGTGTACCCATTACCCCTCCTCTTTTCCACATAGGTCTTTGTAAAAAGGGAGTTTCCATCATCTTTGTAGCCACCCTTTAAATATTGGAACTTGGTCTCCCCTAAACCTTTTTCTCTCAAGCTGAGTAAGCCCAGTTCTCTCTTGCCTTTCCTTATGTAGCAGCTTCCCAGTCTTTTGAGCATCGCTGCTGCCCTTCTCTGGTCCTTCTTCAGCCTGTCCCCATGTCTTTGTATAGCATGGGCGAAACTGAACAGAATGTTCCAGATGTGACTTGAAAAGAGCTGACGAGGGTGGGACAATGACAATGTCTGCTAATGATGCCCTTGTTGATGTCCCCCAGCACCCAGCTGTATTTCTTTGCTGCAGCTGCACACTGTTCACTTGTGTCGAGCTTGTTGTCCATGAGGATCCTCAGGCCCCTTTCACTTTCTGGCTGAGCACACAGCTCCAGCTTCTCCTGCTTGTTCCCAGGCTGTGTGTGTTGGTCTGCAGACACCTGAGGTGGCTGGTCTGCTGGCTTTCATCCTGGGAGGCAGCTAAGGAACATTTGTTGCTGCTCTGGTTGGCCTGGCTTGTCCCCAGCTGGATGCAATGTTGCGTTTAGTGTTGCTGCTTTGGACACCCCAAACTTCCTGAGTCCTTCATTTTAAAGCTCAACTCACAGAGTGGGACAGCTTTCTGCCAAGGATTCTTTTGCCTCTTCTAGGGAATCTAGAAGAGTTTCTAATATGGAAGGGAGTTTGTGTAGACCCACATTCACAATGTGTTGTCTGAAGCCCTTTCTGAGTCTTACTCAAATTCCTTGGTAATTTCCAACAGGCTCTTACCTAAATACACACATAATATATAAATTGTACAAACTGATGCTTTTAAAGTATAATTTATTTTTCCTGTATATTGATTCTTTATATTCATTGACCAAGCTATTTAAAATACTAGTATGTCAACATTTAAAATTGAGTTACCTTTTGATGTTTAAAAATGTTATGTCATTTAATGGAGATACTTATTAATACATAAAGGGAAAACATAGGTTATCAGGTTCTAATCTGTCAAAAAATAACAAACTCTTTTGTCTACTAGGTGTTGAGAGTGTACAAAGCTGCAGTACAGCAGACTTTGGATATACTCTTCCTCCCTGAAGGAAGAGAATTTCTTACCAGCACGGATGCAGTGAGCCGGGACTCAGCTGATCGCACCATCGTTGCGTGGGACTTCCAAAGTGCTGCCAAAATCTCCAATCAGATTTTTCATGTAAGATTAACAACTACTGTTGTTTGGGTCATGATTTAATATTTCATACTTGCCAGTGTAGAAAAAAAGGCATTTGATTTTCAATAAGGTCTTGTGATGTATAAGATGCCTTACATGTAAGTTGATGACTTTCTTTGTTTTTATACTTAACACTTAATTGTTATTAAAAAATAACCCTGAGGACTGAGAGACCTCCTTGTGCTTAAAATATTTACATTTCAGTGCTATTTCATTGACATCTAAGCTATATTTAGGCAAGGACTTTGCAGTGACATTGTGGATTACCAGTGGTGCATGGCAGTAGCTGCTATAGTGCAATGTTTCTTTTGCCACACTTTTTCATACATTTTTGTCAGTTGCAATGAGGGTTATTAACAAATTGAGTTTAATATTCACGTAGTAATAGCAACCTGATATATGCATATAGATACCTAATACAGAATAATCACAGAGGTAAAATTTGCATTTATCAGTGCAGGTGCAGTATTTCTCAGTCATCTAACCAAGCAAGACATTTAATGGACTAAATTGTCTAGAAAGGCTGACAGCTTCAAAGGAGATTACCAAGGCAGTTAATAGAAAATTTCAACTCTCTGGGTCTTTTTGAAAACCCAAGTCTAATATCCTATGTAATATAATATGATTGGATTTTATATAGATCCTTTTTGGTTGAAATGAAAAGTACTCTGCTGACAATAACACATAGTTGATGAATTAATGGGATTGTTTCATGCTTAATTTCCAGAATGGTGTCTTTGTACAATATTGGATCTATCAATACCTTGGACAGACAATAGGAAAGGAAAAAATAAATAAGTGTGAATATATAAATTACAGACCAGAATTCCCATCCCCCCCCTACTTTTCTGCACTGTGAATAAGCAAAACTCTGCTTCACTTTTCTGAATTTCACTTTTGAAACCTTTGAGGTGGGAGTGAGCCCCTCAGCTCTCCAAACAGAGTAGATCCCAACAGGACTTGATCTATTGCTTGTCTGCATTAATAAATGAATAGTTAACAGCTCTAAAATAACCCATTACTACAACATACTCAGCACGACAGCACCGTGCTCCTGTGGATTGTGTTGTGCTCTCTGATGCCATAATTCCAGACCCAGTTTCCTTGCAGAAACACACAGTTGAACTGTGCCTAATAATTTACAGTACCCAGGACTTCCTTCCAGTCCTTCACTTTCAATTCACACAACAAAACCAATCTGATGTTCTTCCTGCTCTACCACACAGCCCATGGTGTCCAGTGGTCACTGCTGCCCTGGGCTTCTTCACATGCAGAAGGATCCTACAGCCAAAGCTCTCATGGCATCAAAACTCAGCACTCTGTCTTTAGGTTAGGCTGAAACTAGAAGAGCTTTGGACCTGGTGGAAGCCTTGGGAGAGCAGTTGATTTCTGAGGGAGTCACCATGCAGAGTTTTGATAGTAATCTTAATTCACTCTTAAATAGGAACTGTACAGTAAAGCCAAGTCTTACTAATTACTGCAGATATTTATGAGTTTGCAGCCAGCAGCAGCCCACATCACTGTCATAAGGAGACTAATAATGATCCTTTTTTTCCCCTCTTTCTTCTTTTTTGTAAGAGTGGGATGGGGAAAGGTGTCTGTTTCAATCAGATATTTTCTGTTCCTGTCAGTCTGGCCAGAACTGGAAGAATGGAGGATTTCAGAACTGTACAAAGTAGCGTGGAAAGCACAGTATGGCTGTGGAGAAAAGGATATGGGAGAAGAAGATTCACTTTCACATTCAAACTTTGGGTTTCCTTGGGCAGGAAGAGAATGATGGAGAACCATCTGGTTGGAATTACCTTTCTGCAGCTATTCTGCAGTATAATTATGACTCAGAGAAATAGGGGATTTTGGTCAATATCTAGGAAAACAGGGTAGAGGTTTGATCTAGCATTTGTCCTGATGTAAGACTTACAGTGGTCAGTAGTGAGTTAAATATCTTTATATAATGTATATATGGAGATGACTTGTTCTTACCTTGTCCTTCATGGGCTTTCAAATATATCAAGAGGTAACTTGAATCATTTGAACTAATTTCTGTTTGATACAACAAAACTTCCTTTAAAATAATTTTCAGGAGCGTTACACGTGCCCAAGTCTGACCCTGCACCCAAAGGAGTCTGTGTTTGTAGCTCAGACCAACGGGAACTACATGGCTTTGTTTTCTGCCCAGCGACCCTACCGAATCAACAAAAAGAAAAGATACGAAGGACACAAGGTATCCTTCCCCACCAGGAACTCAGTATCCAAGTTTAAAAGGAAGATAGATATTAAAGCACCTCTGCTTTTTAATGTCTGCTAATAGTGTTTTATTATAAATCAGTGATAGATATTAATTGGCTTCATTTGCTTTCCCATGTGCCAGTCTATTTTGAATCATATGCACTCTGAAGAAAATAGTTATTAGATGACTTTATGAATGCTTAATGGCTTGATTAAATAAGTTTTTGATATAGCTGTGTCTTAATAAAGACCTGAAGAAATTTTTAGTGTATCTTTATTTAAAGATATGTGGGTTTTGTACTATATTAATTTTCAGCATACCACAATGAACTTTTTTAATCAGCATCAAAAATTACTCTTTTACAGGTGGAAGGATTTGCAGTGGGCTGTGAATTTTCTCCAGATGGAACACTCTTGGTGACAGGAAGTTCAGATGGCAAAGTGTTTTTCTACAACTATCATACTTCAAGGATTATTCGCACTTTGTCTGCACATAAAGAAGCTTGTGTGAGTGCAATATTTCACCCAGTCCTGCCATCGCTCCTTGCAACATGTGACTGGGCTGGAGAAATCAAGATCTGGCAATAACAAGCAGAGTTACTTTTTAGGATGTCTCTCTCCTGTTAGTCTGTCAAAGGCTTAGGAAATAAACCGGAGTATGGAATGTGAAATTCTGTTGGGATGTGTTGTAAGAAGGAGAGAGACTGTTGTCTTTTCTTCTATGACCTCTATGTTTATGCTTTCATAATGCAGTTAAGATGGCTCTTTGTTTAGCTGTTGAGAAGTGGTACTACTGTCTCTCTCAACCCTGGAGACAAATTTTAAAATCTTTTGTGTCAATCTTTTAGTGCTCATCCAGTCCTATTCTGCTTTGAGTGAGTACCTAAATTTAAGAAAATTAATGCTCTTTTTATGCATCTTGTCAATGCAGCTTTCTTAGACCAGGGTTTATCATAGAATCATTTAGGTTGGAAAAGACCTTTAAAATCATTGAGTCCAAGCTTTAACCCTGTACAGCCAAGTCTACCACTAAACCATGTCCCATAGTGCCACATCTGCAAATCTTTTCAATACCTCCAAGGATGGTGACTCCAGCACTTCCCTGGACAGCTGTTCCAATGCCTGACATCCCTTCAGCTGAAGAAGTTTTTTCTGTTATCCAATCTTGACCTCCTCTGTCACAATATGAGACTGTTTCCTCTTGTCCTCACCAAAAGATGAGGACATACTATTTAACAGTGAATGATGTTCAGATCAGTTAATATCTATTCCATCTTCCTGAGATGTTTTTTCCCATTTTTGTATTAGTTTAGCTCCCTGACCTGATCACTGGAGGGTTAGAGAAGCAATACTGTAGTTCAAGGCAAAATAGCTTCTATGCACAAGAAAGGGGAAGGTTACAGGGCAGGTAGGACTGCTTCTTCTTATAATGCACAGTCTATTATCAGCTCAACTTACTGTAAAATGCCTTCTGAGAGTTCAGGGAAAGGTGTGACAGATTGCTTGAACCTAATTTTGAAGTCAATACATTTGTGTTCTTGGAATCCTGATGTTCAAACTTGAGTTTTAAACTTACTTTTATGACTGTATAAAAGCAAAATGAAGCTATGTATAAATATTTTTAAGGAAAAAATAAAGTTTTTTTAAAAAAATAAATGCTATCTCTGTTTACTACGTTACTCCTATTATTCTTGACAAGTTAGTACACAAGCCTATAATGAAATCGATTCTTGGGGGCGAAAACAATTAACATGTTACTCTAATTTATGGCAAACGCATGCATTTCTCCATAGTTCTTGATGTTGCTTGGACACAGAAAATTATCATCATGCTATTCAGTGCAGGGGAAGTTCTTCAGCACTCAAAGAGGAGCTGGGCTATTCTTCAGCAAATATAAAGTTCATTAGGCCATTACTATGTATTTACATATATAGAGATTGTTTGTAAGTGTACTTTAAATTTGTGTTTCCTGCAATTGTATTACTTGGTTCTAGAAAATATTTTATGTGTATGTATATGTATGAAAAATGGTATGTCTGTGAATCATATAAACCATATATATTCCTAATAATGACTCCATATAAACTTGTATTATCTTGTAGTGAGTGCTGTAAGCTTGTCTTTGGTCTGGTTAGTCTGTAAAGGTGTTTTAACATACACAGGATAATTGCACCAAGTAAATTGTCTCTGTCATGGAATCCAGAAACAATGTATAGCAACAACTTTCCCTCTGTAGCATCTTTTTATTCTTCTGATTTTTCATATTGGCACAAATGCAAGGGGTTTCTATCCACTTTTTTTTTACATACTCAGCAAACAAAAGCTTTTTCAGAGAAAAAAATTAAAATTTTCAGAATACTCTTGCAAACAGCAGATTTTAATTAATTAATGAGCATAGTGTACTCCACTGGTTTGTAGTTTATGTTCCTTATTGCCTGCAGTGAGAAATAAGCCTATACCAAGGCTGTGAGTCCAGTTACAGTGTCTAGACTAAGATATTGTAACTGCATGGTTTTAATCACCTTATCAACAGCTATGACAGGTTTTAACATAGGGCATTAAATTTAAGTGAGTCTTGAAACGAGAAAGCAATTTTTCTTAGTTTTCCAGGTTGCCCTTTATTTCTTGCTTCCTTGTTCAGCAATGAACTGTTTAGCAGAAGCCTGAAGTTTGCACTTTTCTTCACTGTGCCTCTAGTATAGAAGCCAGCTGTACCTTTAAATAGAAACTTGTTCAGTGGTTTTGAGTTACTCCTAATTCAAGCTGTGGGATCCTCATAAAAGTCAGGAGGAGGTCAGCTGGAAGTGAGGTAGCCTTTGCCTGTTGCTAGGTAGGCTGAATCCCAACTGCACAGCATTTTCCAAGGGGGTGGTTCTGTGTTCTTCCCTCCTGGTGTTTTAATTCCAAATGTACCATTGCCCCTTTAAAACTTCGGGCAGCCAGGTGTGTCTTATGTGAAGGATGGGCAGCACTGTAATTGTTCCTGTTACAACCTGGTACCTATCTCCATAGGAGGTTATCTGTTATTTTGTTAAGTACAGCCTTTAGAAAGGTCTCTGAAATAAAGGTGAGCTCATGGTAGAAATGCTTTCTTGGATGAGGCCTCAGCTTCTATGAACGTTTCCCTCTGTCTGAGTTCTCAGCACACTCACCCTCAGTAGGAGCATGTCTGGATAGAGGGAAGGTCCTGAGAGAGGCTCTTTGGGAATCACGGCTGAGAAAAATAACTGAATTTTGTACGATTATCCATGTTGCTTATGTTTAACTTGTGTGCTGAGGCAAGATTCTGGTTTCTAGAATCTATCCCTCCTGAAGTTATCTTGCAGATATAAATTGTAGACTATTTGAGTGGAGAGAGAGAGACAAAAGCTTAAATTTGATTAAAGGTAGTAGAAAAATTAAAAGAAACTTGAAATTGTACAATCTTAAAGAATATTGAAGTTAGAATTGCATTTATGTCAGATTTCCAAGATGGCTCGAGTTTAATTGCTTAGAAGATCCAGTCAAAGGTTTTGTAATGCAATGAAATTATTTTCACAGCATCATCTCGTTGAAATCTCTTTCTAATATAAAATTGATTAAGACACAGACTGAAACTTAGTCATTGGAAATATTTTAGAAGAGTGGTGTCAATTAAGTTTTCATTATGATTCAAACACAAATTCATCCTTGTTATCTTATGTAATGAGCTGTAATCAAAAAATATCCACATTATTCCATCACTCTGCAATTACCAAATACTCTTTGGGCTGCAAACAAGGATTATTATGGTCAGATGAAGCTTTTAGAATGTAATGAATTGTTGATTAATTAATTTTATTCATAAAATTGTAATGTATAAATTTTTGCATCTTGCTTTAGGAGAAATTATTTTCGTTTTATATAGAGATCTCTAGGGCATCATATGTTAGAGCCAAGGCAGAGGTTTCCAGCATTTTGAAATGGTCTAGACTGTGTAGATAAACAAGCCAGATTAATTTAAATCTATTTTGTACTGTACCGAAAAGTAATAATGTCAGTCTCTACCACTTTATTATTTGCTACTGGAGCATTATTAATTTGGGGTGTCAGAGGATGCAAGCTATTCAACTGTCTTTATCTCAAAAACCTGCTAATTAGCAGACAGTTATTAGAATCACTGTGTTCACTCAGCTGAAATACTCTTGGTGAGTCACTATATTTCAGCTATTGGCTTCCTCATAAAAATAAGGTATGGCATTACAATGGGATTACTCTTTATGTAGGGGACAGGCGAATGTAAAGATACAGCACTACAGCAGGACAGAACAAAACAGATCAAAAAATTATGGAATCTTAAATTACCCATTTTCCTTACATAAGGGTTTGGCCTGCCTTCAACTGAAAAGATTTGCTCTGCTTTCTTCAGCTAGCCTTGATCTTGGTCTCTTAATCCCAGCTCTTCCTAGTCACTGCTTGTATCCTCACCATTTAATTTTCTTCTTTTCTGTCCTTGTCTCAGCACCTTGTCTTCTGCATTTGAAGGTATACCAGTCTATGTGCTTACACTACATTCATCTTCTTTTTTTTTTTTTTTTTTTTTTTTCTCTGACTTGAGACTTTCAGGCTTTCATTCCAGCTGGCATTAGAAAGGCAGGCAGAAATCCCAGGGCACTCTGCACTCCATTCTTGCCTGTTTTCCAGTTTTAATGAGGCTTATTACTTTTGGAGAGTCTCCCCTTTTCTTAGCTTTTCCTCTGTCTACTTCTCTTTCTACCTTTGATTACTGCTTTACTGTCTTGCAGGTCCTTTTTATTATATCACTTCCTACAAGGTTTACCTTGTCGGGAGTGCACTTTTGTAGAAAAAAAACAACAAAGAAATCTCACCCACCACCCCTCCGAGTTATTGCCACTTACAGTGTTTTAGCTGAGAGAATGTGCAAACTGCACTGCCCTCAAATGAATTTAAATGAGGAGATGTGCTCTAAGACCATATTTCATATGTCCCAGCTGATGGGACTAGACTGGGGATAGTTCAGAGTATTCCCTACTCCCCCAAATGCTTGTAGGTTAGATACTGTGCTTTCAGAAGTGAGGCAAACTACACATTTACTCCTGTTGGGCCTTACTACTTGTGAATATGAATGTAGCCTCAAAGAGTCTTTGGTGTTTTCCCCTTTGATAAATTTCTCACTGCTCTCTTCATGACTCACCCCTCTGTGCAGAGTGACCACAGCCTGATGCTTTCACACTTCAAAGAATTGAAATGCAGGGAGTTAGTTTATGAGCAGAATAAAAGGCAATTTTAGAGGTGCTTGATCTCCAGTGGCAGTAAGATGAGCTGGCCCTGCCCCAGAGCTTGATGAATCCTGCCATGTGTGCAGAATGACTCCCAGCTGGGACAGAGCAGCCTAGCATAGGATGGGAATGATGGGTCTCTGGGAAGGGTAGGATTCTCTGTGCTGGATTTAGGTGGAGGTTTAATGGAACTCAGCTTATTCACCTCCCTTTCCCAGTCCCTGGATATCCTACACTTAAACTTATTTAGAATCCTGCCAGAAAGCACCTAGGTACTGCACAGAAATGATAAAGTTTCTTCCAAAGATAATTCTCAGTACATTTTCACGATTTTGCATAAGTGCCTAATCTAAAAACTTTTACAGGAAGACTTTGGAGAAGGTTGAAGTTCACCAAGATTGAAAGTGCCTGAAGTTATGGTCCAGACAGTTTCAGCTAGATCCATTTGTCTCCAATTTCCATCAGCAGGGCAGCAAAACTCAGGTGTCATTCTGAGGAAGATTTCTGCTGAGAAATTGTTTGAAGTGCATCTTTAGAGGAGTAGCTTATGCAACAACTTGTGTTAAGTGTACTTTCTCTGGTACAAACCAGCTTACACTGATAAAGCAATTTCCCTATGTACAGATTAGTACCACTTGCTTATAAACAAGTAGTAAAGAGTTGCTTCTTAATATCATTTAGATATGTCTTCACCATGAACTGTGTTATTTTTATGTTTTATTGCATAGCCACCTCCTTTGTTGGCTTGCCACTAAGAGTTGTAAATAAATTCCAGAGCTCTTTCACCTTGTGATCCATAGGAACTTATTTAAGTTAAATATGAGGTAAAGAATGTAGTATCTTACACTTATGTTATAATTTATATGTACATATAATAGAGCAAATGCAGTATTTCTATTTATTCCCCTTCCTTGCTTTTTTAATCCTCACTAAGACAAGTTCTTGTTTTTAAAAAGAATTTCTTATAAATCAAGATAAAAGATCTATTACCACCAGCTAGTCTGGATAGTTAGTTTGCACATCCTTGCTATTTGTTTTAATGCATGCAACTACTTGAAATGCAGACATCAGTTCAAATCACATACTGCTTTTAGTACAAAAATGAAAATTTTTGTGTTTATTATGCCATTAATATGAAACATGCAATCTGTGAACTGTAGGCATGTCATGGACTAATTTTTCTTTTTTGCAACCTCAAACAGGTAATGTTTTGACCAAATATATAACCTCAGAATCTGGGCAAAAGCCACGAAGTGAAATCTTAATCATATCCAAAATCTCATCTTTACTCTTCTCTGAGCAGGCGCCTGGCTGGGCTGT